GCCGCCCAGCGATGCGGCTTCTGGCTCGGTGGTTCTGTTATCTTCGTGCAGAAAGTCGTGGTTGTGATGCTTATTTCTGGTGTCCGGTGCACAGAGCAGTCCCCAGGCTGCTCCCTTCCTCCAGGACAGTGAGTTCTGAGGTCCCGAGCGTTCAGGAGGAAGTGGAGTCCAAGGTTTAGCGGACACAGGGTGTTTGTCCATTGCAAAAGCTTTAAATGCAAAGCATGTTGTGGTTAATTACGCTACACGGCCTTTTTATGGCATCGTAAACACGCACAGTGCTTTGCAAACAAACCGTCAGGGCAGTACCCGCCGTAAATTGCTCTAGGTCTGAGAACAGCCAGCAAAAGCAGCAGGCAGAACTGGCTCCCCTTCGCTGCTGGGGAACAGAGGTGAAATGACTTGCCTCGAGGCCGCTGAGCCACAGGTCAGGGGACAACACCCAGAAATTGCACTTCCACGAGGGCTGACTCACGCCAGAGGGGCACGGCCACCTCGCTTTCCAGAGTTTCTGCTCATTTGCAGTCGCAGACACTCAGCCAAGCCTTGGTGTGAAAGTCAGCGCAGCCCCGCTCAGCCCTGGGGGGAGATGCTGGCACGCAGCAGCTGGGAACCACGTCCATCCCGACCATACGGGGGGCAAGGTTGGGGCACTTGGCTGGGATTTGGAGAATCGCCGCTCAGCCCTGCACAAACTGCAAGCGTTCATCCACACGCACACAAATCACAAGCTCTGGTAACATCAAGGGGCTCCTGAGCATCAAAATACATCCAATTGTTGCCCTGTCACATAAAAATTAATGAAAATTAAATTAGTAAAAATTAATGCACGGATCCATCACCCTTCGTTTAAGCTGTGTCCCCCAAATTATATTTCACTGTTCTCTAAAGCTTGTGGGAAAAGTTCATCTTTGTGCAAAGACGTGGTGCAGCAAGAAGGCAGCTGTAAGGTCACCCTGTATCCCGACACCTGTTTTTTCTCCTAGATTCTTTTCGTGCATTACTAACAGCAAGGTGTTGGTGTTGGAGAATTTTCAAAGCGTCCCTGTCAGGCACAAGACAACTTAATTGACATCTTTGTGCTTTTATCATTTCTTTGACCTGGCTGTCAGCACGTAGGAGTGCCAGCGCTGCCGGGCATGGCTGGGATTTTGTGCACTTGAGGTGAGTCCCCAGGGGCAGCGCTGGGCTCACGCAGCTGGTGCACGGGCACTGGAAAGCCCAGGATACGCTGGGACATCCTCTGGGAAGAGGAAAGTCGGGACTGATGTAATCATAACACAGCTCCACGCACCTGAGCCACTGGGGACACCAATTACGCACTTCACACTGGGGCTGGTGCAATGAAATCATCGTTGGTGACTGCAGATTACAACAATAATCATCAATTTAATTGTTTCACTGGTAGTTGCTTTCAATTTCCCACCTGTTCCTTATCCGTGTTCCTCCTCTAAGCTGGCTCCTGCCCGGGGAAGCACCACTCCACCGAGCTGTTCTGAGCATTCTCCTGCCAGCATCGTTTGTGCAGAACAAAAAGGGGCAAATCCCACTGAAGTCAACGGGAATCTGTCGTTGCCAGAGCGTGGCCAGGACTTCACGCACAGGGTTTCTTTGTGAGGGTGCTCGTTTCTTCTCTGGAATTCAGAGTAGCTTGAAGGGAATGAGACAGCCTAACCCGAGGCAGATTTTTTTTAATTCCCTCTGAAACAAACAAACGTACTGAAAGTTCCTGCTATTGTCATGACACAGAACCGACCTGTACTGAGTTCTACATAATGCTTCTCAGATGCAAGACTCCAACCTCCTCCTAAAAACAAAAAGCTGCTCTTCTTCTTCCAGAGCTGGGAAAATTGGGGCAGAGACAGATTAAGCCCCCCAAGTCACAAGACAGAGCTGGGTACCTGTGAGAAACGCTGCCCAGAGACTGCAACCCACCAGCAGCTCCAGCACAGGACCTCACAAATTAAATCGGATGTCAACCTGGCCGCCCTCAACCACGCTTCTCACCTCAGCTCTCATCATCTCCATGCCTGTTGTGGCTGCTCTGCCTGCCAAGGCTTTCAGCGGCGTTCTGCTTACTGTAAGCTTGTTCCTCCGGGCCTGCTTTGACTCAAAGTCAAGCCCAGATTTCAGCATGCAGTCGCTCGCAACCTAATGGGGCAAATTTTGTGTCATCTAGTTCAAACCCGAGTTTACACGGAATACAGAAATGCTTTCTCAGTAATTTCTCACCCACATTTACGGGCAATAAAAACAAGAGTTGCCTGGCAACTGCACAATGGAGAAAATATCCTTTTTTTTTTTTTTTTTTTTTTTGGTGAAGCAATGCTCTTCAATCATTGCTACTTGCAGTTTCTGTGAGCGAGCTCCATTCACATGGTTCCTCTCTGGCTCGGGTCAGTCACTGCGCAGGCCACGTTGCAAGGCCACGTTCCTGTAGGTCTCTGGCACTTTTTTCCCCCCACCTATCAGAGTATCGGGTTATTTGTAGTGCTTGCAGAACTCCAAATCATTATTAGTGATAATCTGACGACAAGGAACGCAAGGTTTAAAAACAGACACTCCCTCTAGCTAAATGACTTCTAATCACTAATGCACAGCCCTCAGGTCAGCTGGGTTCAGTATGAACAGCCCTTATTTTGTGTTCTTACCTGTCATGAATTTCACTTACAGTTCTGTCATTGCCTGGAGATCACCTGTGCTCGTTACCTGTGCAGTTTACTCATTACTGTACAGGGAAGAGGACCAGAGCCACTGCTGTTCATCAAATTCAGATGTCGGCCAGCTACATTTTAAAGTTACAGAGAAATGCACGTTCTGCCCCACGTAATCGCCTTCACCACTCCATGAAAGCAACAGTTGTAGGGGCCTAAACTAACAGAGGGCTCGAGGTAGCTGAATTAAACCCATGCTTCCTTAACCATTTGTGATTCAGCACGAAGAACTCCATGCAGAGCGAAGGGCTATGAAGTTTTGAGCAGGTTATTAACACCTGCCATGGCCATCCATGAGGTGTGACAGGTAACAGCTCTCAGCCTTCAGCACAGAGGAGGCAGAAAACGAGCTGTATTTATTAACTCTGGGGGAATTTGCATGCATGTGCTGAGTCTTTAATCATGGATTTTCTGAGCAAAGGGAAACAACGCAGTGCCTGCCCTTACGGCTTTGGCTACACCACCAGAGTGAAAGCAAGCACACCTCTCCTAGAGGTGCAGCTACTCCAGGCTGATGACTTAGCCCCCAGATTTCAGCAGCTCTGTTTTACACTTCCTCTAGCTACTCTGAGCATCTCCTCACAACCCTGCCTCACTGCCAAGACATTCTGTGTAGCTATCTGCATCGGGCTTTTTGCTGGTGAAGACAGGTTGTTCTCTCCTGGAACAGGATGTCCTTTAATCCTGTGATATAATCCTTTTTGTTTTGGAACCAAACCACGTTAACGCACAAATAGACACATACTTTCTCTTGCTTTCTTCCTCTCCAGATTTTAACAAATGTTCAAGGAGACGATTACTTATTTAGCACTGTACATAAAGAAAGTAGTTTGTAAAATGCACCTGTTGATTTTTCTGCTAAGTGACACGGTGTTCATGCTGAAAAATGCACATAGCCTGCATCTTACCTTCATCTTTGCCCATCTTTGACTTAATTCCTCCCAGAGTCTTTCTGGAGGAAGCTGCAGCTGTGAAGCCTGCCTCCCCCTCCACGCCTCAACTCAGGAAATGGACAAGTGGCAGTTTGGGAAGCATCCAGAGCAGAATGAAGTAATCAAAAAGGGAAAAACACTGACTACCTTTTGGAACTGCAGTTAGTGAACAGATTTGAGGCTGACCTGCTCCAAGTAATAGCCAGGCAGTAAGAATTAAAAAGGCTGAAAATGGGAACTCTTTAGAGAACACTGGTACTTGAGTTTGTCTGTATTAGAAACACCTCCAATAGATCAAAGTTACTTTTTATATTGCATTATCTCTACGCTACGTTAATACTTTGACTTCTACTCAATTATTTAGCATACCAGGTATGGAAAAATTAGTTTCCATCCATGTGCAAAGGTCAAGATAAGGTGTATAGTTTGCTGATTCAGGAGCAGATAAAAACAAGAGGCTACTCCAGTTAAAACCAGCCAGCACAGCTTCGTACTAGTATCTTTCCCCTACCCTGACTTACAAATTACATTCCACAGCAGTGCCCTGTTGAAGTTCCACAGGGCTTTCCCTCGATCCGCTGCCTACCTCAGTTCATTGTCTTTTCTCAGCTGAAATGTAACAAGAAATATGGTAAAGATCTACAAAATGACAACCACTACCGTGAGGTGACCAGGGAATAACGAATCTTCTCCCCCAGCAGGAAATAAACGGGCACCCACTGAAACTAAGGAGTGACAATGTGTTTAGAACAGGTAAGTTAACTGTTGTGGAAAGTAGCAATTTCTATTATGGAACAGAATCCATCTACCTGGTTCAAACAGAAATTAAGTCAAAATCACAAAGAATAGGCCCACTGGTAATGGCACAGTAACCCTATGCAATCCCCAGCTCAAGAAATTGGTAGGGTAGAGGTTGGCTAAAGGATGACTGCAAACCCTGTCAGCTGCTTTGCCTTTATATCAAAAACTAAGATTGTAATGAGATTGGCTCGGACTAAGTGTCACACTCAGTGTTGTCACAGTGAGGCACCTGCAAAATTGACCCCAAAGATCTCTCATGAATCTCATTTTCCCCCACAGCAGACAGAGGAAGGTTAAAATAGCAGGCAGTGCTCCTAGGAAGATTTAGTGACACAGCTCAAATAAAAGCACCTCATTTCACACGCTGGCACCAATTACTCCTGCAGGATGGCCCCAGCACAACACCTGCAGTATCTACACTCAGGGTGTAACATCTGAGGTTAGTCTTTAGCCTACTAGGATTTTTTTTTTTAATCTTTTCAATTCACAACCAATTTTTTTCTTTCCTTATGAGTAGGCACAGTGGTATAGCTCATAAGAAACTACTATGAAGTGAATTTAATATAAAATCAAATATTTTAATGAAATTAGGGAGCATGAGTGTGACAGCTCAGATATACCACTAGAACTGATACTACTGGGCTGTGGGGTTGTTTGCTATTTTTAAAATGCTGTTCTTCAACAAGCATGCAGATTGACAAACTACTAATTCTTCAGTGTCAAAGATCCTGAGTAAAGAATTTCAAACCACTTAAAATGTATATATAGGAAATGTCTTATGAGCTGGTGGCCCGCACACAGCATTGCACAGATAAAAAATATACTACTCTCAATACACAGAGCTAAATACTTTCACATTTATCAGAATTTTCTACACAAGTCTTTTTGATAGAGTTCAAGTTTTGAATTTTTCTGTATATATCTTCCACCTGTATTAAACAAATGCTTATTTACATTGTGGGTAAAGTGTAAAGGCTAGTAAGGCCGTACTCCCATACTGGACTGTAACACTGCAAAATATATATACACATATATAACCTAATATAGGCATCGGTTCTAAAAAAGTCACCTTACATTTGTACAACATCATTGAGTCAGTATGAAAAGACAGCTTTGTTAGCACCAAGCCACTCCAATGGTTTTTATGAGCAGTCTTGAGCCTTCCAGTTGCGCAGGGAAGGACCTTTCAGCACAGCATTCCCACTGCTACTGAGGAAGGGAGGTCCTGCTGCAGAACTGCAAGGCCCAAGCACCGCACTAGGGTAGGTAAATTACTAGAAGAGCAGGCATAGAGCATCCAGAGACGAGCTCTGCAGTGTTTTTAGGTGACGCGCCAGCAGAACAGTCACCGAGACAATTATCAGAGTCCTTCGCATCATCCTGTCTCGTTCGCATCTTTCCTTTGGATTCATGATAAGAACAGAGTTACCAGCAGAATAGACATTACTGAAGCCACGTGGTTTACAAGCCAGGTTAACCCTATGCTGCAAAGGCCAAATGGAGAAGAGCTCCACAGCTTAAATTCCAAAGGAAAGACCTCGCTCTACTGCTCATCGCCTGTGCCTGCTGTGGCCAGGATGGTCGCGGTCATAGCGATGACTTGCTCGCTCGTAGGAGCGCGAACGCTCATGCCTGTGATTTCTGTAGTAGTGACTCTTCTTCTTGTACTTCCCTGAATGATCGGAGCGCTCCCGGGACCGGCTCCTGGAACGCGACGAGCTCCTGCTGCGCGATTTCCGTGGTTTGTGCGCCGAGTATTTATAGTCTTTTGATTTCTTGTAACTTCTCATCTTGGAACCTTTGTAACTGGAACTGTGGTTGAACTGTCTTGGGGGAGAGTCACTGCGGCTCCTCGAACGGCTGTGGGACTTCGAGCCACTTGACGTGGAATAACTTTCACTTTTCCTAGGGGAAGAAAGAACAGGAAAGCAAGCGCATGATAATCCACGTAGAACTACTCCACATTAGGTCCTAAATGTAGCCACAATACATCCGCACACCCTAAGTACTGTACAGACAGACGCTTCTCACTGCAGGCCTGCACGGTTTGAGGCCAGACACTTGATTCTGTATCCCATGAAAACCAATCGCCTGCCCCAGACTCAATTCCTCTGGTCAGGGTAAGTAGTGACTTTTAGAAACCTGTATCCGTTTGGAACACAGCAGCCGTGTCAGTTTTAGATTTCTCCCTCAGTGCTTTGAAAAAATGCATGAATATCTAACTTCTAGATTTCAAATGCTGCCAACCAAACAAACAAAGATAAAGCTACTTCTCCTGTTTCAGTTATAGTAACTATTACCAAACTGCACAAGACTGGAGCCGATACCTACTCCTTTACTGTCTCTTAGATCTCCCCTCTATGGGAATCACGATTATATTTTAGTAATAACAACTTCCTAAAGGTTGTAGACAAATCCCCAGCTTTAAATAAGTAAAACAAACAAACCAAGCTAACCCTGCTGCTTGGGCCATACATCACCAACAAACAGCCTGAAGTTAGCAAACATCCTGATAGAGCTCTGCCAAGTAGACTTAAAAGCTGCAAGCGTGACGAGGTCAGACACTGCAGCTCCCCTGCTCTGTAAGCCAAGACAACACCATTCGCAGTCAGCCCTAACGTTTCTGGAGTAGCAGATACTGGTTTGTTATGTCACAGCCTCTCTGGTGGAAAAACTACCAAGCTCACTCCCTGAAAACACCTTTTTACTACTTCAGCACAGTAGCATGGGAGGTTCTCTAACAGCACAGCCTCCTTTTACAGGAGTCCATACCTGTGCTTAGGAGATGCGGATCTGGATGGTGATCTCGAGTAACTTTGATCTCGACTTCCACTTCGACTTCTGCTTTCTCTTCCTTTCTGAATGCTGCAAGAAACAAAAAATACGGTAAAAAAAGATTGTTTAAGATAATAATGGGGAAAAAAAAAAATGAACTTTTTTGTTACAAAAGCCTTACCCGTTCACTGGACTATTTGAACCCGTTCTTTTTGCTCCCTCCGTTTTCCTTTTAGCATTCTTCATTGCCTGAACAGGTAGCGGCGAGGGTTTATTTCCTTTAACCTCTTTTGGAGACTCTAGAAAAAGAAGCTTTTGTTACCTTATTTTTGAAAGTTTGGGTACTAACTGAAAGAGGGTAAGGACTGAAGCCTTCCCCCACCCTGCTTCGTTTTCTTTGTAGTAACCTTTACTGCATACATGCTGTTTGGGTACAAGTGCACACACGAATGCACACACAAGCACCCACAAGAAGCAGATCTGAAGAACTTCAAAGAAGGCAGAATTTAATCTGAAACACTTCTGCCAAAATACATTGAGACATCACTGCCAAAGTAACGCCAAGAAGTTAACTGCAAGAGCAGCATGCTGCTCACAAAGCCATTCCAATGAGGCAGAAGAGTAATTTATTTCTCTCGCTAATTATTCCCTCTCTTTAAGGGTAAACTGAGGATGTAGACTGAAAATCTTAGACCAAGCATGCAGGAAAGTTATCCACACCTCTCGCCCAGAAATATTACTTTTGCCAGAGTTCCTAATGATATGCATGCTCTAATATTTCTTTAGCACAACAAGTTAACTGTGAGTATTTAAGTTTATTGCCAAAACCACATTGAAGCAAGTCTCTCTACTGTATAAATTTAAACTAGCTTTATACCAATTTGATTTTAGCCTTTACCTATCTCAAGAATTTAGAGGTTACAGTGCTATTCAAGATCCGCCACTGGAGTAATTGAGAGAAATCTGCTTTAAAAAAAAAAAAAAAAAAAAAAAAAAAAAACTACACATGCCTATTTATACTTTAGGGATAAATAGGAGAAGAGAAAGTATTCCAACAACTCATCCACAACTCACCATTTTTTGGTGCAGGGGAAAATCCTGATGGGTTATCCAAATTTGGGGCTCCTTCAGGTAGAAGACCTTTAGCTTGTGCTTTTGCCTCTTCAATTGCCAGTTTCTTCTTTTCCACTTTACTTTCCAGATCAGACAAATCAACCTGTAAGGACAGGAGCCTGCTTAGAACAAAACCCTGTGAACTAGACTTTCTGCTTACTCACAGGAAGGGGAGTGGGTGGGGAACACAGATACAAAGACACACAGATCCTGTGACCAGTATCTTGTTCCACTTGCAGCTGATTTCAAACACAAGGTTTCCCAACTCACGTTTCAAGCAGCAGTCTCTACTGAAGGTTAATATATTAAAGAAAAACAAACCTTTTTCCTCGTATAGAGCTGCAAGATTTTTAAGCAGATTTCTTGAATCTCTTCCTCTGTTGTTCCAAAGAGTAAAAACCAGTGTGGACGATTAGGAAGTGGAATCTGAAAGGGATGGGAAGAAATATTCAGGCTTTACTGCTTCTATTAGAAGAGCTAACAAACTTGTAGTTAATGGAACTGTACGCTCACCTCCAATGTTCTAGCTGCAAGGTAAATACAAGCACAGGCAATGCTTTCTGGCTGAAATCTCACAAAGACATCTGTTCTCAGGCTATCATTCATGTAATTCCTGAAAGACAGGATATCAACAGAGTTGTAGGGCACAACAGTCTCCCTCCCTCCCACCCCCCATTTCTTTTCCCCCCAGTAAAACTTCTAAAAGTACTATTTCTTTCTGCATTCAGTTACTAGACTTCAACAATACACTCCTGTAAATCTGAAGAAAAACTGAATTATTTTACTTTAAAAAAAAAAAAAATCCCTCAAGGGAAGGGAAGTGTGATAGGAATTAAGTCTGTCTGACTGGCTGGCTGGCTGCTGAAAATCCAGCCGTGAGAAGAGAACCAATTTTAACTTCACTTTTCCCTCTGGATCTCGACTGGCTTGCTCTCATGCACTAGCCAAGTATTTTCATCAAGACAACATACAATATAATCTGGAGTACTCAGTTATAGATTTTTAGGTTCACATGTTTCTCTGCAATGTCTGAACTCAGATGGTTTGTTGAAAGCAGCAGCTCCTGTGGTAGTCCTCCCATGAAAATACGGCCTGCTTCAGCACATGCCAGCTTCCACTGGAGATTTAAGGGACCCGTTTTCCTTTGGAAGCATTACTTTCCATCCAGAACAGAATTCTTTTTGATGCAAAAAGCAGACACAGAAGAAATCAGCGTGTTTGGAAACATCAGTTCGGGTGAATACTCAGTATTCAGGCAGATCTCTTCTTTGGCATATGAAATACGGTTTCCAAATTGTCCCGTTTCAACAAGGTTGCTTAAAATGAATATTCACAGAGTGAGAAAACTGTAAAATATTGCATATAATATTCCAGTCAGTACACTTCAAAATTATTCTTCTAAAGTCTTAAATACACAACGTAACTTCCTCTGAATCTGTCAGCTGAAGTGCTTAAAAAAAATCTAGATTTTTGAGCATGTATCAAGCAGAGTATCAGATGGAAAAAAAAGCTAAAATCAGAAAACAAAGTCCTCAATATAGTAAGCTTTCCAAAAGCAGTAATTGTTCATGTGGGTACCCGGTATACAAGGATTCACTGTGCCCCAAGACATCCAAAACAGAGACCACAGTTTAGATGCAAAGAGCAACTGCTGCCCCAGAGGAACAGGGCTAAACACGAGCTCATCTTTCTGGGAGAAAAGAATTTTAAAACCTAGTTATCTTGCTATCTTTTCACTCCTTCAAAATACAGAACAAACCTTTTGGCAACGAAAATATGAATAGAAAAGTGGTACTTCAAACATTTGAAAGTCACACATCCTTTTCCTAACTTCCCAGGTTGAAAAACACCACTGCTTCCAAGCTTGGCTTCTATATATTTTCCCTGTGGGCTCAGAATTGGACATGTGAGGAAATGAATCCTTGTCACAGTATTTTAAGGAAAATGTAATGCTGTAAAAATGCATACTTAAAAAAAAAACAAAACAAAAAAACAATTGCACTGGATATCCACCCATTTTTAAGTACTGGGAGGTACAAGCATCAGTACATTAATGTTATTTTTACATCTGAAACGTTTCTCAAATTGGATAATTTCTTCCTTCCTCCTCACCTACTCCTTCCTTTCATAAGGAGCAGAAAACCAGTGATGAGCAGTACATAACTACCCTCTGAAGTATTCAGATGTGATCTCAAGTTGAAGGGACCCACATGCAATGGGACTGGGAATACTGGTAGCAGAGAGTTATTTTTAAGTTCTAAATCAGTATTACATAGTATTTTCTATCTGATTTACAAATGGAAACTAGATTTTTTTTCTGTTAATTCATCATTTTAAGACTTAAATCCCACCTTCATTTGCTTTATCATCTAAAAACACACACATTTAATAATAGTTATAAAATTGTAACATTAAAAACCATTTAGAATATTAACAACCAAGTTATGAAATATACAAACAGTCAAAAAGCACAATGAAAATAAATAAGTTGAAAAGTATAAGCACAAGAAGTAGTTGGCCAGTTACTATACTATCGTGTATATACCACCTGTCTAGAGTCAGCCTTCTCTTTGGAGAGCCTGCTTTGGTTTGACTGAAGACGGCAGCTATCCCTGCACCATAGCGCTTGGGCAGCAGAGGAGAAGTCTTAGTCACTTACCCTCAGAGGCTACCCTTTGATTAAAAGAGTACAGAAAAGAAAAGTCAAAACTGGTTCTCTACACACAGGTCACAGTACCAGACAGTTCAGTCAGCAGAAATATGATCTTTGGATTCACTCAAGATTTTTAAACCACGGTACTGTTAAAAAGCACTATTGTTTCAAAGTGTTATCTACATATGTTTAAGACCGGGAATTTTACATAAACTTCCCAAACCCAAGCAGATCTTTATTGTAATGAGAGCAACAAGGCAGAGGACATTCCTTGGCAAACATGAGAACAATGAGTTTATCCACTCTTAGAAGCTGATACCTTGCATTATCCATATGGATAAGAGAAATTTATCTGTGCTGAGAGATTTTGACACACCTGTAACCAAGCTCAAGCACCGGGAAAGGCCATTTCCCAGCACTGATAACAGACTTTACCTACAGTTTTCTCCGAAGAACAAAAAGCAAACAAAAAAACACAACAAAACCAGAAAACCATAAACTAATCAACATTCTCCCTTCAGCTGAAAGGTGAAAGCAGAGAGGAGGGAAGTGAGAAGTCAGGGCGGAAAGCTACCTTACCATTAAAACAGTGCCTCAAACTTAAGAGGACGATCAACATTTGGGGCACTCCAAGAAACACTGGAGCTGTCTGGTGTGGCCCTCAATCACTTCTGAGCATTGTTGCCCAGAGTGCCTCAAGTGACATATTTCTGCTACTGCCCCTGCTGGTCTCTTAGAACAAAGAAAATCAACTTACCATGAAGTCTGGACCAGGTGTTGGTTACGTTCACATTCTAATACCTGAAGGTACATAACGATTATCTGGAAGATATGGGTTATTGCGTTATTAAGGAGAACCTTGAGAGCCACCTATATATTTCAGAGGGACATCCACGAGGCATCCACTATTTGCTTTCAAGCTCTAAGACACTCCACGAGCGCCTGCAACATCTCCGGGGTTCACCCACACAACTTCTGCTCTCCAAAGCAAAAGTTGCTGTGAGTTGACACACAACCAGATCTGACCTTCCTAGTTCTCCGTCTTCTGAGCTCAGTCAGCATGCTATTCAGCTAGAAGTCTCGTCTTCAACTGTTTTCAAGCTAGATATGTTCTCCTATACAATTCATGACTCCTTTTTAGCTGTAACTTGGGAAAAATACAGCTAGCTGTGATAGGTAACAATTGATGTGCAACAGCGTTTGCAGAGAACAGACCTTGTGTGTTTTGTGTCACTGGTGTATTCAGGTCTAGGTTTTTCTTAGGTTTGAAAGGAAAACAACAGGATGCAGACTAATAGATACAAATTTATACCATTCAAAGTGTAACTGCCCTCCAGGGTTACTGGCATTTCTGAAAATCAAGTAGGCTCACAAAGAAAACGTGAAGACAACAGAAGCTTTTAGGGAAAAATAAAAGCAGAATTCCAAGTTCTGCTGCTTTTGAGTAGAAAGTTCTTTCACCATCCTTATCAGCTGGTACAAAGAAGCTATAATGGAAACACTGATGGCACTAACTAAGAACTCATATGGCTACAGTGGGTACATCTTTGAAGTATCATCCCAGTCTGGCATATGATATTTAAATAGAGAATCATTGTTTCTTTTGAAGTCAAGCCCTTCACACTTGACTGTACTTTTTAGAAGAAGCATTGCTAACTAGCTCACGTGGACTAATAACCTCATCCATGTTTCCACAGAAATGGATCAGGACTCAGTATTTCTCTGATGATAAGATATCATAACCCTAGATCTCCTTTCTGTTTAAGATTCCACATTTAGGGAGCTGTGGTGTTAGAAAACTTCAACTATGCATTTAAATGATTTTGTTCTAAAAACAAAGCATTTAAGTATCCTGGACTTGAAGGAATACTTAACATCTGCATCCACCTCCAGTCGCCATTCAGCAGTGACAGAAGACCAACTAGTAAGAATCTCTTAAATGAGAAAGAAGACATCATAAGAAGCTAGCTTTACGGAATTAACTAGCTTTATCAGGTACAAACCAGAGAGCTTCCTTACGGTGAAGCAGCCTACTCAAAGCATTTATACCACAATAAACGCTGATAACAAAGTTAACTTATACAGTACAAACCTTATGAGGATGCTTGACGTGAACACAAAATCCCAACTCCTTTAAAACTCTTCTTTCAGCCTTAATAATTTGGTTCTTCAAGTTCACATACTCTTGATCCAGTATTAGAGGTACAGGTTTTCTGCAAAACAATTTCAAATTCCAAAAGACAAACTTAACATCAAGGGGTACTTATATGTAAGTTAAGCCATGTCCCCATAAAAATAAAGGACACCGCTGCTATTCAGAACATCAAAAACCTTCACTTAAGAAGTTTTCAACTCACTTTTTTCCTTAATGAGATCTTTTCAAGATGTTCCCTGATTAATTAAACAGGGAACGATGCAAGCATCAGCCCATGAAGCTTAGTAATTAAAATACAAAGTAAGAACTTCAGATTATTTCAGAGTCTAAACCTACTTTTTTTCTCGCAGATGTCGAAGACGATGGAACACGTTAATTACATCCCTTATGCGCCGTGGTGCTTCTTCGATTTTGGATGCCAGGTGAACACAGGCCATTGACACATGCTGAAACAGAAACATTGCAAGACACTGATGTTTTGCTCAAATCTGGACCTGATTGCCTCCAACAGCTTACGGAGGGATAACAAGAGAAAACGGTGGTAAAAACAGGAAACACTAAAAATTTGTCAAAGTCAGCACTATGTAGCTCTGCAAAATCACGCCAATCGGTAAGTCAAATCTATAGATGCAAATGCTGATCACATCTAGGTTGACAACTAGGCAAAACTGATGAAAGATCAAATCACAGTTTAGTGATTATGTATCTTAGTATTTCCTTACCTCCATGGAATGCTTCACAAAAGACTTGGTGTAAAAAAAACGCTGAAATAGCACCTGTCCTGTAGCCATGGCCACCTAAAAAGGAAACAAAACAAGTATTAATAAAATAATTTGTGGGTCTAGAAAAAAATATTAAGATTTCAACAGGTTTAAGACCAAGAAAGCTACTTAAGCTGTATTTAAATTCGGAATTAAGTTCAGTAGTACCTAAAGAAAAGGTACATTACTATCTTAATAATGAATGGAGTTGTCTAAAATGGTATCAACACCGCAAATCCTACCTTTGAACAAAACACATGCATTGAATTGTAAGGACCCAGAATATTAGACGTAGTAAAATCCTAAGTTGTGATATTAACCCAGAAAAAAAGCTTTTTCTTGGTGTGGGGAGGAAGTCAGGAAGTCAAACCAGATTACGATTTTGTTATGTTAACATTGTAATCTGATCACCCGAGACTCGGGTAGCGAGGAGACTTCAAAGTTTCCCCCCGAGGTAACAAGAAGCCTGCCCGCGAGGGAATCTCCCCAGCCCCACAAAACCTCACGGCGCTCCCTCCCTCCCTCCGCACCCCCCCGAGCAGCCCCCTCCTTCCCCACACCCGGCCCTAACAAAGCGCCGCGGGGCGGCGGCGGGGCGCTGCCCTCAGCCGCTTCCTGCCGCCCGGGGAAGGCCGCAGGCCCCGCGGGGAGCCTCGGAGCCACCGGGGCCGGGCCGTGGACCACGGGGGGAGGCTGAGGGCCCCTCGGTGCGAGGCCTGAACCCCCGCGCTGTGAGGCCTACACCCCCCCGGTGTGAGGCAGGGCGCAGGCCTCACCCCGGGGCCTACCTGCGGGAGGCGGAGGAGGATGCCGGCCGCCTGGATGAGCTCACAGCCGGTGACCCGCAGCTCGGTCTCGGTGTCGGGGTCGAGCCCGCTGCTCATGGACGGCGTGAAGCGCAGCGTGTGCTCGGGCAGCAGGCAGTTCTCCAGGGTGATCAGCACCCCCGAGTACAACCGGTCGCCGATCAGCACCGCGCCGGGACCCGGCACCGGAGGGCCGCCTGGCCCCGCTTGGGGGACACCCCCAGCCGCCACCCCGACCGCCTGAGGCCCCGCCGGGCCGCCGCTGCCCCCCACCGCCGCCACCGCCGCCGCGCTGCCAGCCCCCGCCGCCATTTTGTGGTGCCGCCGCCTCGCCCGGCTCCGCGCTGCCTCACGCACGCAAGCCCCGCCTCCTTCCCCCTCCCTCCCGCCGACGGCCGCCTGCTATTGGCGGAGGGCGGCGAAGCGCCGCGCGGCGATTGGCCGAGCCGCCTGTCCGTCTGGCGCCGCCGTGGGCTGAGGGGGGCGGCGTGACGCAGCGGTTGGGAATTTGAACGGGCGGAAGTGGCGGGCGGCGGCTTCAGGGCGGCCGCGGCCTAGGCTGAGGTTGAGGCCTCAGCCCAGGCCCCCGGGGGCTCCTCGGGCTGTGGGGGCGGCTGGCAGCGCCCCACCCCACCCCAAAACCCGCAGCAACACCGGGCCGCTGCCCCCCAGCGCTGGGGGCACCCAAATCTGCCCCAAGAGGGCAGTGGGGTGTTGTTTCCCCTTCCCCCCCAGTATAACACCCATATCACTACTCAAATCGTGCTTCTGATAGGAGTTAGGAAAAAAAAAAACCACACAGAACACCTTTATTAAGTTCTTCACAGAACAGAAAATATGTGCACGCTGTACATGTTTTAACAGGGGAACTGCAACAGGCTCGCCTCACAGCTGCTAAGGTTGAGCTGTAATTTTTAACTCAATGCATTTCACTTCTAACGATGTATTTTAACACATTTCACTTTTAACAAAATGTTGGAAAAAAAAAAAAGTCATCCACGCGCAACCTTCACGCCCTGACCCAACCCTTCTTCCCTGCCGCAAGCATCGTCTTTGGAGGATTTTGTTCCACAGCTCTGATCTCAGCTGCAGACAGTGAGCAAGCTTACCCTGCCGTACGAGTTCCTGTTTATAACACGCATCTGCAGGCTCCTGGCATCAATAGTGGTGTACGATACGAGAAAATATCCCCTCTGGTTCCTTCCCATCTCCGAGGGCAGCAAGGAAGCCTTCCTGTCTCCTCCTCTGGGCCAAGGCAGCTAGGGACTTGAATGTCTTTGGCTCATAGATAGCCAGATCAGCAAGCATTTTCCTGTTCAGCTCCACCTGGGACTAAATGCAAGGATTGTTGGTTAAGTACTCTAATTTTTAGGAACAATAATCCAATGCCTAGTTAAGGTTTGAAGGCAAATTAATATTTTTTTTCCTGTACTGTACAATTTTTGCATGACTAGGGAACTGTCAGACATGCCCATTAATTCACGGACATATTAAGCTACCACGTACCATTTGTTTACTGTGTTTCTCAAAGTGTTTGCCATACAAACAATCTCTTATATTCTAAGCAGGAGGTATTATATAAAAGTTTGTTTCTTTTTATTTCTTTTAACAGAGTACCTTACAAAAATATCTTGCTCTGAGACAAGAAACAAAGGTATAGGCATCTCAAAAGAAAAATCAGTTAGCTTTTAGGCAGTTTTTATTTATTATTATATTAAGTTTTACTTAATTCTCTTGTTTACAACATGAGAAGATTAAGCAAAAGATTGAGAGTATAAATACCAGAAACTATTACTTTACAGTAAGCATGTAAGAAAACCTATACGGTTATTTGAAACATAGGTTAAATGGTTTTGAAATATGCTATAAATGTATACATAGTTCCACTTGAAGAAGCAGAAACACTACCTGTTTGTTATGATCATGGCCAAGAAAAACAAGTTTTAATTTTACAATTACAGTATCAACAAATTAAGACCAATTCTCCAGCATGTTTAACAACAAAGGACTGTGACACCAAATGTCTGCATTGTCTATGTTCACTGAAACACAAAGCTAGTAAGCAAAAAAAGTAGATTTCTTAGGCTTGCTTTTGCAAATCCAAGTTCTGTACTTTTACACGTATTGAGTGAAGCAGAGGCAGCTCTCACTTAACACCTGCAGTAGCAGCAAATGTAAAAGCATTTTGCAAGCCTTGTTCTTAAGATGAGCAGTAAAAATTTTGGGGAGAAAGGTTGGTGAGAAGCAATATCCACCACAAGAAAACGGGGTCACGCATTTAAGGAAGAGAAACAGGGTTAGGGCAGAATTTAGTTCCTGAATCGAGTAAAACTCCTTTCGTAAGTAGGACAATGTTGGCAGAAGCTCAGTCTAACAGAAGCCTTTCACCATGCTCTATGCCAGCACTGCCTGCTGAGGTTCCAATCTTTAATGGTTCTAATTCACCATTATTCTTCATCCTAATGGTTCTAATTCACCATTATTCTTCAAAGAGCAGCAATCGGAGGCTGCGTGCTCAGTCCCTTGCAGATCTTCTCTTACATGGCAACCAGCAAGCCATTGATATACTTTGTCAGACTACGTCTGCTTCACATTTCCAGAGTTTAAACAAATGAATTTACCTGATGCCACAAAAGACCACTATCAGACATTTTCTCCAACCTGTTGAAAAGTTGAATCAAAGCAATTATTCAAGCACCACCCTTACCTTAAGCAGATTGCCTATGAAAGCTGGGTATTTCAAACCATGTTCAAGAGAAGCTGCTTCAATCCTAGTGATCCAGAGCTGAAAGAGTAAAAATTCATATCTTAGATGATAAGATATTTAGAAGTAAACATTCTGTCATACTGATCTGCTCACACTTAGTAAATGCAACAGATTCAGACCTACAGTTTTCTCAGTGCTAGACACACCTCAATGTACTTCAGCATGTGATCATTTTCAGACCACAGGGAGACCTTAAATTCACAGCATTTTTTACCAGCTAGTAAAACATTTTCAGAGAGCCCCCCAGCAAGGAAAACAGACACATCAGCTCTGCTCTTTTCCCATTTTACTGTTGACATCTAACATCTTGCTCTTTACCGCTCTCAGCAGCCTCTTCTTCTCTTTTCTGGCCTTTGTAGACTTCACAAAAGCTCTCCGAACACTTCGTACAGCCAACTTATAGCAGCGGTTCTTCCTTCCACGAAAATGCTGAAGCAAAAACAAGATGTTCTTGTTCAGTTATCTTTGAAGCTGTTAAACTCTTCAGTAATGCTAATATATCCTCGTTTGCACTTCAAAACCCTTCATAACAAAGTTCACTAAATACTTCACAAACATCAGCTAAGCCTGCAGTCAGCACATAATGAAAATTTTCTTGTTTTACAGCATGGGAAACTCAAAGCTGAGAAGTTGGAACAGGCTGAAACCTTTCAGTCCAGCAGGAGGGAGACAAACCAGGCCTCACTTTAGGCCATGATTCCAGGAGGAAGGCAATCAGCAAAACCATCTTTCAGTGCTTTTTATCAACCCCAAAACTCCTCATTCCTGAGCTCAGTTTTGTCTGTACAACCACAGGGATGGGACAAGACCCTCTGATATGTTTAAAACACTGCAGCTGCCCAAACAGAAAGCGTTACGGAAGAGGTTTATTGGAGCTGCTACCATTAACACCACGTTATCCATCCTAACAGAAGGCAGACAGTGCTGTACACAGAGGTCACTGGTACTGCTGCTGTGGGCAGCCTGGCCACAGGACGGAGATACTCCCACTTAATTCAGCATTTTCCACCTCAATTCTGCAGCAAGACAGACCTCCCAGCAGCATGCTGTCAGCCTGCCCTTGAAAAAGGCGCTGCCCCAGCCTAGGTTGCCACCTCTGCTCAGAACACGTCGCCAAGCAGCATGCACGAGATGCGCCCAGAATGCTGCGGGGGGGGGAAATCGCTGTTCCTTCACCCCATTAAAAACAAACAAAAAAACACAAAACCACCCCGCAGCTCCTGCCCTTCACCCCCACCGCTGCTCCGTCTCACGGCAGGGACCCCGAGCACGCTTTAAGGAAGCACAAAGGCGAAGGGGAACGGCTGAATTCCCATCACCCGACGCCCCCAAGCCCAGGAGAGCCTCGGGGCAGCGGGGCACAGCCCGGCACTCACCCGGGCATACTTCAGCACCTCCTGCACCCTCCAGAAGCGATCGCTCAGGCGGCTGCGGAGCCAGCGAGGCGCGCTCAGCAGCACCATGTCCGCCGCCGGGGGCACGGCCCTGCCGCCCCGCTCCGCCTCCCGGGGCGGGCACAAAGCGGCCAAGGGGCGGCCCCCGCCATTACGCCAGCTCCCGGCTTCGCTAGGCCGCAGCAGGCCGCGCCGGGCCCGGCCTCGCTTCGTAATCCCTTTAAATGATCAAAACCAAAAGCTTTCCCTCGTGTTTATTTAGTTCTGCGTTTGTATTGTTAGGCTGTCTGTACCTGCCTGTAGCAATACGCCAAGTGTTTTTACGTGAGGGACTGAATGGATTATGATAGCTGCTAATGTTTCTGGTTTCTTAATGTTTCTTCTAATACCTTTAACATTAGAATCATAGAATCACTGAGGTTGGAAAAGCCTTCCAAGATCATCTGGTCCAACCGTCCCCATGCCACCACTATCACCACACTAAACGTCCCCAAGCACCACATCCAACCTCTCCTTGAACACCCCCAGGGACAGTGACTCCACCACCTTCCTGGGCAACCCATCCCAACCCCTGACTGCTCTTTCTGAGGAGAAATGTCTCCTCATTTCCAGCCTAAACCTACCCTGGCACAATTTGAGGCCATTCCCTCTAGTCCTGTCAATAGTTGTCTGTGAGAAGAAGCTGATCCCCAGCTCTTCACAACCTCCTTTCCTCAAACTCCTTTCAGAAATGCTGGCATTGTTCCATTTAACAGTAAAAATCTACAGGTTTGCTGCCTTCACCAGCAGTGCTAAAGCAATGTGAAAAGTCTTCATGCTGTTTTCAGTGACAGGAAGAATTCAGTACCGGGCAGCATGTCTTAATGTCTTCCTGTGCTTAAGAGATGTTGAGAAGTAAAATGAGAAGTTATGACCCGTGAAAAACCACAAGATGGGGCTGTTGTTATAGACAGTGGAAAAGTTATTCCTTAGCAGCAAGGGTCTCTACCATCAGAGAAGATAACTAATGAATTTGGTTATCATTAATCACACCACTTTCAGCATCTCAAAGTAACGATGCTCCTGTTAGAAACTGCTCCGTAACTTATGCCATCATCAAGACGTCTTTCCCATTTATGGGAAGGTGCTTGTTAGTGATGTGGAAATTTTACAGAATTAGAGGCTTAGGGAATCTTTTTTATTAACAGTGGGGCTTGTTTGATTCAAAGTCAGCTTGGTTATTAGAAGAGTCATTAGAATATTTTATTTTTTTTCCCCAAAGGAAAATCAATATAAAGAACAAAAGATTCAGACCTCCCACAATTTAAAATGCGTTTTCATTATAGCAAAAATATTTTGGGAAGTTTCGCTTGATTTAGTGAAGCTCTTTATAATTTATGACAGTTTTTAGACTAACGGCTTTTTGTTTGTTTGTTTTGTTTGTTTTTACCACATCACTGCGCCCTTGCTGACAGACAGTAAAAACCCTTTGTATTTATGAAGGAATAAAAAAAAAAATGGCACAAGAAAAATTACTGTGGCAATGGGGTGTAGCTTGTTAGAGCAGTCATTTACTCAAGCTCTTCTGGTGCTCCTCTGCCGCTTGCTGGCAGTTTCTGTCTCATTCACCTGCTCTGCATGGTCCCCAAATGCAAAGGAAATTCAGTCCACAGGTGATCCTCCTGCCTCTGCTAGGAAAGCAATTCCCCATAGGGAAAAACCTACAGAATGGCAAGCTGCACAGGGCTGCCAAACCTGCTCTTTGTGGGGCTGCAGTGCTCTGTGCTACCCCAGCACAACACAGCAGAAGTGATCTGGGGGTAGAAATTGAGTTGCCTGGCACTGAGTTTGCTGTCTTTCAATGGCTTGAGCCTGAATTTGTATTTCCTATAATATTTGTTGTTGTTCTTGTTTTTCCCTTAGCGTGTTTCTTGACCTTTCTCCAGTTAAAGGGCATAACTCATTCTTGAAGAATATTATATATTTAAATCAGGGGCTGTTAGGCAGCCATTCACTATGCTGAGACTGTTCAGAAGCCTTGATGCCATTTGTCATATTTATTACATCCAATGCCATCTGTTTTCCTGCACAGATTCAGGGCTTTATTAACACTGTGGCTGGCCTGTGCCATAACTGAAAGCAGGATGTATGCCACAGTTATTTCCCTCTGGACGTCTGGGTAGATCTGTGCAGACATTTCACATTTTGCAGCTTGAGAGAAGGCTACTGCCTTGCGTTCCCCCCTAGGAGCCATTCAGCCTGAGAAAGCAGTGAGGCAATGGGTGGAACAAGATGAAAATGGGCTTTTCATACAATGTGAGTGTTTTAAAGGTCGTTTCTCACTGTATTTCTTTCATCTCTCTCACACACATGACTTCATTATTAAAAAGAGACAGGCTGGCTTGTAGTCTTTAAAAAATGTTGATGATTGATATTGACTCATGGGTCCAAAAAGACATAGAACAGACACAGGATCTGTTCTCAGTCTTGCCACTGGCCTGCTAGGTGACAGAGCAAGCAACTTCCCCTCTCCGTGCCTCAATCTGCACATCTTTAAAAGAAAGAGTCACAATACTGCCCCTTGGCTAATGTACTTGAAAATGCACCGAGCAAAACTTGAATATGCCCGCTAGGTATTATTCTGAGCCTGTGGCAGCACTCCTGCTCCAGATCGTTTGTCTCCCCAGACTTTAAATTATTCATTGCTACTGTGAGCCTTTTGAAGAATGTGAACATGAATTCTCTGTTTATGAAATGTCTTAGCTGTGCCCTACACCATATATGCTAAGCAGGTTTGCATCCTTTGTGCTTTGCCAGTCTGATTTAGAAATGCTTTCCTAGCACAGCTGGGAAATCATTTCAGGCTCTTTGCTCAATGAGAAGTTTGTCTAGCAGTTACTTAGACGGTTTTCACAGTTTGTTCCCTTTCTCCCAGGAAAGTGGCTGTCCAAACAGAGGTGCTCCTGGGGTTTGCAGTTTTGTCAAAAAAATAAAATAAAATAAATTGATCTGTCAACTGAAGTGCTTTTTGTAATCAATTTTAAATGTTTGGATTAGTTAGTGCACTTTTAAAAAATATTTCAGTGTTTGACATTCAAAAATGAAAAAGTAGAAGAACATTTTCAGGCTTGGGAGACAGTTTTCCATTGCTTTTTTGACTTATATTTCAGAACCATGGTAAATTAATTTATAATCAGCTTACACAGGTTATTTTCAAAGAGACTTTTCGGTTTGACAACCAAGGAAAAACATTATTCCATGCAGCACGCCATGGTACCCAATCTGTTCTTTAGTACTCCAATAAGGTGGGTCAACCAAGCACAAGAATACTCTTCCAGTGGAAGCACATAGGATTCCTCATGGCAGTACTCCACCGAGAAACGCAGCTTGTGGCAGGGCTCCTCCGGCCCCTCCTGCTCAGCTGAGTGCCCCCGGTTTCTCTCGTCTCAGGTGAGGTAGCCCTGGTGGTCCAGGCTCCCCTTCATGGCTGGAGAGCAGCCAGTTTGGTGCCTGCTGCCCAAAGGGCAGGAATTGCTGCCTGCGTTTCCCCCTTATTTTCCCTACCCTGCTCCTTCCAATTCAGCTGAGTACAGTGCAGACAGTGTTGGCTTCAATCTAGTGCTACAAATTAATGTTTTCCCGTATTTCCCAGTATATTCCTCTAGAATGAAGCAGGCTGCAGGCTGATAGCAGTGCTGTCAGTCTGAGTCTATTTTTAACACATCCCCCCTCACCTGACACATCAGCTTTTATTTTTCCTTCACTGTCAGAGAACTCAACAGAAGGAATAAATAATAACAAACAAAGCAGATGAAATAAGGTTGATGTCACCTTCAGCGCCAGGGATAGAGGAAATAAAATGCCTTGAGGAAAGTCTAGCTAAAGGACATGAATGGCTAGAGAAAGCCCTGAGAGCAGGGCTTCCAGAGAGAGCATCCTTTTGGGAATTAGTACTGGCTAAAAATCTTGTGTGCAAAAAAATTAAAAAAAAAATAATAAAAAATCCTCTTGTTTGTTCCCTGCCATATTTCAGGAAGAAATGACTCTTGTGCCACTTCATAAATAAACAGAATTATGTTGGAGAAACTCTCTCTCTCTTTCATTTTTCCCTTTCTAAAACATCTTGAAAAGCTAGAATTTTGCGCAAATAGCACACTTTTCACCATCTTTGCCAGAGTGTGGTCTGAAAAGACCTTTCACAGCTCAGAGCAGGCTGGGGAGTGGTCTGCAGCTCAGGTTCTGTCCAGGAGTCTGAGGAACCAGGTTTGTGCTGGTAGACGTTAACGCCCTTGGTTCACAGATAATTATCTCTGCGTCAAAGCCATTAATTTTAAGAATTGCAGAAGAGTCGCCTGGCTTTGCAACTCTCCTAGGCACTCATGCAGATCACTGCACTGTAATTAGATATTGATATATCTCCACCCACATCTCCACGTGCCTTCCAGCTCCCCGGTCTGGTTCCTCAGAGGTGGCAGACACCAGACTGTCACGAGGGAAGACTTTGTACAACAGACATTGTAGGAACATTTGTGTTTCCATCAAATTAAGCAAACCTTGTGATTAACTCATCTGGCGTGGTTCTTAAAAGGAGACGGGGAGCTGGTGAAGGGACTGAAGAAGACGAGACCTGTCTTTGCTTCCTGACCATAAGCCAAGTTTCCCTTCCTGCACAGCCCTTTATGAGGGTGTTAGGGCCTTTGGGGCACCAGTAGGGCTTCGTGGCCCTGATAAACCTCAGCTGAGGCTTCCACCCCACAGCCTCTGCCTGGAGGCCTATTTAAGCTCATCCCTCTTTCTGACTGCTACTGTAGGTTTGTGCATCCCAGGGGTTAGTTCTGCTCCAGCCAGGTCTGCTCAGGGACTCTGTTATCATTCACAGGCTGGTTTCTGTGCTTTACTGGGCTTTGGGGTCTGTCAGTGGTAAGGACAGAACAAAATGCCCTGCAGCTGTGAGCGATTTGTGCCCTGAGTAAGGATGCTGCACCTTACTTGTGATCTGCTCCCTGGCACAGACTAGCTGGGGGGAATTTTTATTGCCTCGATATTCATGAGGCAAATCTCCTGAGACCCTCCTGGATGCTAAAGAGGTTCTACAAGAAGAGCCCTAGCAAAACAAAGATGTGGTAAGTGTGAGCAGCTAATAATCTTAATCGCTAGGGGAATTGCATAACCAATGTGGAGGATGTTTAAAATCTGCTAACCTGCTTCAAAAGGCTTCCTTCTTGCTTGTATCACTCATTATACCTTTGAAATCAATATCTATCTTCCTCACACAGCTCTTCAATCTGTTCAATCTACTTCAGTCTTTAAGCCTCTGTTTGTTTATTGATTGCATGTGCCAAACTACAAATGGTCTTGATGTCCTACTGCTTTCCATATGCGCTGCGTAAGTGGTGTGTGGCAGTCTCCCAGCTCAGGAAGAGAAAGTGCTTCCAGTACTGGTAGAACTGGGACTGGGAGGCTTCCTGACCATGCCTGCCCTGTGTTCAACCACGGCAAGCTGAGCTGTGTGCCCTCATTACCTGCTGAGTCTTCAGACCAGGTGCTTTTAAACCAAATACCAGATAATACCAAAATGGATACCAGAGCATCCTTTGGGCCCAGACCACCTTTCCCACAGCATTCAGCACAAAAATCTCTGTAAGGGAGACCAAGTCCTCAAAGAGGGGAGTACATTTATGTAGTGATTGACACAACAGAGCTTAACTCTAATTAAAAGCAATGCCAGAAATTGGGAACAGTTTAAAGCAGACATGTGATGAGAAGATCAAGCCTGGATAGCATATTTGTGTTGCCCCTGTCACCTCCTGGTGGCATGGATTTGGTGGAGGCTGCTGAGCCATGGATTGTTTGGGATGCAGCTGCCTGGAATTCAGCCCCAGAGGGCCACCAGCACAAATTAATCATTTGTAGAGCTCTGCTAATGGGCCACCAGTAATTGCTTCATGAGCAGGGCTGGCCGAGCCCTCAGAGAACTTTGTTGTAGCTTTAGCTTTGCTGTGTATGCGGCTACAGCTGGCCGGTGAATAGGGAAGGCTGATAAACATACCAAAACACATCAAGGGCTGGGGCACAGGCACCAAAATGTGCAATTCTTAAAAGCATTTGATGGGGGGAAGCTAACACTCAGTCTGCAACATAAAAACATTTTATATTTAGCCTGTGAACAGTTTCACAACCTTTTCCCAAGGCAGAATTTTTCTAAGTAGCACCAAATGAAAAACAGGACTCCTGGATTCCTGCCCTGTGCTGTGGATAAGCTGTGCCTTCTGGTAAGACCTACGAACCTCAGTTTCCTCCTGGAAGAAAGTTTTCCTCCTCCTGCAGCACTGTGGTCGTGCCTAGGTGAATGTACCTAAAAGACTCTGTAAATGGGGAGCTAGTCGATGGCCTTCTTAACTAATATTGATCAAATGAGGCAGGTAGAATAATCGATCACTTGTGCCTTCAGCACGAGAATATGCCAGTCTGCTCCGCAGACAATAGTGGCGGTGACTGCAGACAACAGATTTGAGCTGTGCGTTGATTATTATCAGTTAGCGTAAGACTTCAGAGAGAGAGCATAGAAAACAAATCGCAGGCAGAATGATTTCAATTCCAAAAGGGCCATCTTGCCCTGGGAACGCACGGTTGGAGTGTGGTTCCTGGGTGCTGCGTGCTAAATCACTCGCGAGGCAGCTGGAAGCGATTGGCTGGCACAGAGCAGCTCCAGCAGCCACGCTGTAAACAGAGCAGCGCTGCGAGGCTCCGAGCCGCCTCCGAGGAAGACACTGCTCGCGGCTGAGCGCCTGTGACAATGGGAGAGCACTGAAACAACACGCTGCTCCATCTTTGCTCCCAGCTCCTGCGCGCTGGGCGAAGACTCCAGCGAGGCAGCGGGGAAAGCGGCTCCTGCTCGTTACCATCCCGGGTCACTTCGTTTGGGTGAGAGCTGGACGGGAATATTTGAGTGGGTACGGGGTGAGGAGCACGGGAAGGTGGTTTGCAGTCAAGGACCTGCCTGAAGGTGCTGAAGCCTGATACTGCTCGCAAACAACAGTGCTTCAAAGTTGGAGGAGGAAGCTGAAGGTAGGTGCTCTCTGGGACTGAGCAGCCTATTGAAGCTGAGAGCAACTTCTGGGGACCTCTTGGGATCACGCTCCTAGGAAGAACAGCAGAAAAACAGGCGTGCTGTGGGTTCAAAGCCACAGCTGCTGCCAAACGTCCAGCAGACGCATCTTTGAAACAGAGGTCAGGACTGGCAAGCAACCCGAAAGGAAAAACTTGCATTGGCCAGGTCCTGGGAGAGCAAGTGGCCGAAAAGCCATCCCTTCCTTGCCTCTGTTGTGTTCTTCATGTGCAGGAGAGGTAGGAAAAGCCTCGGCAAATTGCTTCCTAGTTCGGTGGCCAAAAGCAAATAAACCATTTTGGAAAAGTGTGTGTGGATTGATCAGCAACCTTCCTGGAGGATGTCTGACCAGGAGACCGAGGACTTTGGAGCAGAAAGCCTCTTAGACAAGTCTAAGATGATTCCCAGCCTCCCACCGTATGACATGGATGACCAGCTGCTCCCCAGGGAGCCCCGCAGCACCTGGTGCTGCTGGGCTTGGGCCCTGGCGATAGTCACCATGAACTTCCTAGTCTTCTTCATCAATCTTCTCCTGCTGCTTGTCATCTTCACAGTTGTCTTGCTCCCCACCATTGTGGTGGTTTACTTTGGCTTCCAATGCCACTCTCGGGTAAGTAAACCTCGCTCCCTTTGGCTGCTAACAGCCACCCCTACGGCAGAACAACCCATGAGGGTTTTATTTTTAGCCTGTGGGGAAGCAGTGGCTTTAAAAGCAAGGCTACACTCCCTATATTTTGCCTCTGTTTTATACAGGGAGGAGTGTGCAGACTTCATGTGTATAGATTGAGCTGAGAAGAATTGCGTTTTGGGGGTTCACACAGATCTGCAGGCTCCTGGCTGTGCAGGGAAGCTCACTCTCCTGCCTGGTGCCCATGATGCTGCCACCATCAGGACTGGCACACACATTTGTATAGGATAGTAGAGGCTTTGTGGCTTCTGGGCTGCCTTCAAGCAGCTGGCTGGCACCCGTGCTTCCAGTGTCAGTGAGCTAGCACAAAAAGGCTCTTGTGGCAGAGAGAGGGAGGACACGACATGAGCTACCTGTGATTGTCTGGGTCCTTGGGGGCAGAGGCAGCACGGGACCCCTGGGTCCTGCTCTTAGTGCAGTTGTTTGTGTAAAGTGGTCCCAGACCAAGAACCCCAGCATTTCGTGAGCCTGCACAAGATAAGAGTATTGTGGTGTGGATGTTTTACAGCAGAAGTAAAGCTTGACCCATCTGAATGCCAGCAGGAATTAGCTTGATTTTATTTGTCTTACCTCTCCCTTCTTCAGTATGGGGGGGAATGGAAGCTTGATTGGGTGAAAGAACTCTGTTGGGGTTTGCTACTTTCCATGTAAGTAAGCTCTCTACATGACTGTCCTGTTCGATCTGCCTACCAGCTGTAGCAGTAATAAAGTGTAGCTGAACCTATAACCCCCTCCGAAGCCAGCCTCGTGTTCAGGTGTTCCTGCAGCTCTTCACTTAGTCCAGCCTTTGTGTTTCCTTGCTTGGTAAGGGCTCCAGCTGTGGCTGCTGCCCTCTGAATTTCATTATTCTGAGAATACTTATGAATTTCCTCTTCTTAGTATATTTCCATAAATATGTTTGGAATCCTCTAAGTGGATGCGAAGAAGCAGTTTTCCTGTTTTCCTCGCTGGCAGTCACTGCTAGGCCAGCTCAGTCTGATTTCTCTTGCTGATTACCCAGCGTTAGAAGCACTCGCTTGCTTCCTGCCTTGGAGAGGGGGGAAAAAACAAACCCCGAAGTACCTTCTCCCAGGAGGGAGAATGGGATTAAAGGGTAAGATGCTCTTGGCCTCCCCAGTGCACAGAATCTGAACTAAAGGGAAGATATAAAACCTCAAACTGATGTATTTAGCTGAGAAATACTGAAGGGAGAAAGCTCTCCCCTTCCCTTTAATAAAAATCTGTGCATCCCATCTAATCAGCCAACTCCTCGGGACCTCTGAGCAGATCCTGGCGTGGGTGGTGATGTTTTTCAGCACATGGATCCCTTCCTGCAATGAGGGCACTGCAGTCGTGTTCTTCAGCTGATGTCCAAGAACACGAGCTGTCAGCCCGCTGCTCCCCCATCTCAGCTCCCTGGCAGAGGGACTGGGCTCTGCTGCTTTCTGATGTCTCTGCTGGTCTGAGAGGTTTGGCTTTTGGTTTTCACAGCCCTGAAATAATGACGGCTCTGAGTTGCTGGTATGGAAAAGCCTCTCCTCATTCTGCAGACTAACAAACAGGGAGACATCTGTCATGGTAATTCCTCTGTCGAGCAGGGCAGACAAGTGCTGTTGATGCTAGCTGGAGCGAAACATGATTCATAGAGAAATCCCCTACCTCTGGGCCCAGCAATTCCCACTGTAGCTCTGACACATGAAAAACATTCCTGTACGATGCGAGCAGGTGATCCCAACAGGGCCATGTGGGAGGCTCTGCAGGGCCTGCGGGCAGGAAAAGCGGTTCAGAAAGGTCCTGACCTCTCCTACCTCTCCTGTGACCTGAAACTGCTCCTTGAAAGTCAGAAATGTGAACTTCAGATTGGTCTCAGAATGGGAAAGAGCATGAGGACTGCCTCCCAGTGCTGCCCACCCTCACCTTGGAAGACCCCGAGCTCTCCATTCTGCACACAGTGTTCTCCCTGATGGCTTTGGGTGTTGAGGAGAGGCAAAAAGCTTTTGAGTACAGCAGAGTACATCGGATGTGAAAGCAACTGCGCTGCTGTTAGCTGCGAGGGGTCTCTTAATGCACACTTGTCTTTTAAGGCGAGGTAGAGCAGGAGTACTGCAGGATGGCTTGACGAGGGCAGCCCTTTGTCTCTGGGCTGCTGCTGTTCTGTGCCTTCCTTGTAGCCGGAGGCTGATTTCTGCACGGCAGAGCCATTAGATGGATTATTTTTTTTTGAGTGTGATTGTGGTTTTTTTGTACTGAAAGAATAAAATAAAAAAAAAAGAGATTGCAGGAGGTCGGGGTAGCCCAGAGCCGTTGTTAATCCAGAAGTGAGTGGCTTGACTTGGTGCTCCTGCTGCCAGGATGGAAGGGGGGCTTTGAACCCATCAGCCAGGAGCAGCTTCTGTGCGGGGTGCTGTGCAGCAGCACTGGGGTGCTCAGGGCCTCCTGGCAGGTCTGGGAGATGCTTGGAGGCTGTAATGAGTACACCGTGCTCCAAAACAGAGCACAAAGCAGCCTTGGGAGCCCAGGGGGGTGGGCTGGGGAGTGACCCACCTATCCGTAGCATTGAACGTTTCTGCTGCGTTTTATTTACTTGGCTGTAACTGCCAGCATGCTGTGCCACCCCTGGTGGTGTAGCTGCAGGAGGCCTCTTGATTTGGTTTGCAGCTATCAGCTGCTAAGCTGTGCTGTTAGGGATAACTTAATAAAGATTAACACTCGCTGCCTGAGAATCCGTGTGCAGTGCTCTTGTCTCACAGAGCTGCTGGAGTAATTGAAAGCCTGGCTAAGTGTTGTCAGTCATGATGTACCCTGAGGATTTCTGAGTTCAGCTTGCAGAGAAGGATGAGGCCTGGCTCACTGGGAAAGCCCTAAAACCTGGGGGTTCTTTGGTCACTGCTCCTGTCCGCCGTGAGATCTGTGATGAACTTTCTTCCCTCTTCCTGCAGGTGCTGCACTCCACGGCCCGCTACTGCAAAACCGTCCTGGATGACAACAGCTCTTCTGCCCTCATCATCCTGGGCTTCGTCATCATGTCGCCTCTCATCGTGGTGGCCATGGCCACCTACTGCAGCCTGGCCAGGCGCCTCCGCCTCTTCATGTGCTTCCAGCCCTGGAGCAGGGCTGTGTACAAGGGGGTGAAATGGCGCTGGTACGAGGAGGGAGGCCTGTGTGGCTGTGCCAGGGGCTGGAACACCCAGGTCAAGGCCTGGGTATGAGTCTGCAGCACCTGAGGCTCTGGCCCACCCAATTTGCCCTTCTCCCTGCACTGTCCCTCCCCACCACCTCCCAAATCACCCCCAGGCCTCTGCAGAGCAGTGCCCAGCTGTGAGAGGAAGGGAGAGGTGTTCACGAGCCTATGAGGCTCCTACAGCTTTGTTTATAACCCTCCGTCTATAACCAAGTGAAGGATGCTGTGAGGGAGAGACAGGCAATGCAAGACCTTGATGGTAAAGCCGATATTCAGAAAAATGAGGACCCCTGCCAGTGCCTCTTGTGCTCAGAGCAGTGCAGTGTCCAGCCCTCATAGCACGCTGTGCCTCACACAGGTCCCAATATCCATCTACACACGTAGTGAGAGCAGCTGTGGACTCTGTACCATGCCTCAGAGGTCTCCCTGTGTCCAGCAGCATTTGGGGAAGCATCCAGCCCTGTGGAGGCAGCTGTGGTTTCCCCCAGTGCTGGGCTGCCCACATTTTAAACCTCTTGCAAGGTGTCTGCAGGTCGCTGCCTCTGTGGTGGCTGGGCTCCACAGCTTTCCCACACACCACAAGCTCTTCCCCCGCTTACCTGACCCTCCTCCTCACAGTCTGTGGCAGTGCTGTGCTCGTTTTGCTGTTCCTGAGCCAGCTCGCTGGGGTGGTTGCAGATTTTTGTGCCGATTTTTGGGTCTTTCCCCTTTTCCAGCTGCAGAGCTGAAGCACGCTTGTCTGGTGGTGGCTACCAACCTGCAAACAGCTCCTTGCCCTTTGTCGTGGTCAGGTTGTTTGGTTCAGGGCAGTGTTAGGGCTCCTGCCAGGATGAGCTGGAGACCCCCAGTGACTACAAGGGGGTCTTCCACCCCCAGGCGTGCTGTGCTGCTCTCCTTAAACCATGGTGGGTCCCCGGTTCAGTCAGCGGGGCCTCGTGCTGCTGACCTCTGCGAGCTGTCCCCTCTCCCTGCTGCTGTTCCTCTGCCTGCCAGCTCTTGCCAGTGCTATGTGTGAATAAAGATCGTGCCAAATCTCCACCAAGGGAGTTTCTGTTCTGTCTCGAAGCTGTCTCAAAGCACAGGCTGCACCAGGACTGGCTGCCTGGGGCCTGTTATAGCAGGCAGGGCCAACAAGAGCACCAGTGTGAATCAACACATAACTTCTGCGTTTGTTTCTGAGGATTGATTTATTTATCTTTTTAACTTTTTGTTAAGTGCAGAACTTTAGCTCTGTCCTCAGTTGCACAACTTTGTGGTGGTAAACAGGATCCTCAGGAACCTGTGTTCTATTAAAGCAGCCAGGGCAGCAACACTACAGGGCTGCTTTGCTGGCTCTGCCCGCTCAGCTGAGTCATTCTGCCAGCTTTCACTGCCACTTATCCCCTCCTGCAAGCCAGAGTCTCAACAAACCACCACCACGATGCTCCAGGTGTAACAGGTTGGATAGAGTTTCATTTACAGCTCGAGTTGTCGCGTAATGCTGCTGTGACTGAGGAGCGGGCAAGGATGTTCCAGCCCAGCACCAGTGATCAGAGGAATGCAGAGTCAGCATTTTCCTGGTTTTTTTTTCTGTTGTTTTAGGACTTTGCAGGGCGGGAGTGCTGACTAAACTGCTTCATTTGTGTGTTTTTGTCAACCTCATCTGGAGCTGGAGTCGCATCTTGGCAGCACAGCAGGCCTCGGAAGGCGAGCTGTACCTCGAGGGTGTCCTGCCACGGGCAGACAGCGTGGTGATGTGCTGTAAGCAGTGCAGAAGCTCTGCTGTGAGACTGGATTGACCCTAAATGCCCTGCTGGGAGCACACAGATGCCCTTGATGCCCTCTGCCTTGGGGCAGCTGTGCCAGCAGATGCCAGGGGGAGGCTGCTGCACACCAGGGGCTTTGTTCTGGGAGCACCCGGCCAGCATGGGCTCAGAGCACAGCTCTGCCTGGCACCCTGCTGAAGGACAGTGGGGTTTTTCCCCTTTTTTTCCCCCACTGCTGCTCTGATAAGAGGCTACAAGGATCTTAAACAAGGCATTGCGCTCTCCTGCCCTGCCTTGCAGTGTGGTGCTTAAGCCATTCACTGTCCTTCGGCCAGCCTCTCGTCTTAGATGTAAGCATCAGCTTGAGAGCTCTTCCTCCTCGTCTGGAAGCATGACCCAGGCAGCCTGGCAGGACATAAAGAGCCCTTCAAGGCTAAGAAACCAGCCCAGAACGGCATGCTGGAAACATTAGAAATGAACCAACATTTGCAGGAGTATTTCATTCCTGCAGCATGAATCCCCAGGATAAAAAAATGCCCAGAAAAAAGCTGAAAGTGCAGCAGGTGTCGAGCAGTTAATTTACCTTGAGCCAAAGCTGGGTATCTTCTGAGTATGAATCACCTGGGATGGCTGCTTTGTGCTGGATTTATGGAAGGTGTGATAGAACCGCGAGCTCTCCTGCAAAGGTGGAGAGCAGGAAATAGGGGAACAGTGTGAGAAAGCATCAATAACTCAGGCTGAAACAGGGGGAATATTTCAGAGATGCTGCTCTGTGTCACCTGGTGGTAGACAAGATGGTTCAGATGTGCTCCTCGCTGCCTTCGTCATCATCATCAGAGGAGCACTTGTAGAGGTGGGAAGAGGAAGGAGAACAGCAACTGGGCTCCAGGAGCCCACCCATGCTGCAACAAAGCTTGTGTCCCCCGGGTTTCGGGGTTCAAATTCCTGCTTGTGACACAAGCTCAGCAATGCTGAGGCTGCTGAAACGTCCTGTGTAGGAGGAATCTGGGCGTCTTTGACTTGGATCCCCCTCCTGGATGTGCTTGGACGGGATCCTGAGCCCCTGCTGTTGTGGCAATGGGTGGGTCATTTTTAGGGGAGGCGCTTGCGGAGTGCGCTGGGGGAAGCAGGAAAACTGCAAAATCACAGCTTGATAGCTAACAGAGGGGCTGGAAAGTTTTTTAAAAAATAGAAACCATTGTAGTAAGTGGTCTTGTTCTTCACAAACACGTAATGACACCCCAAGGGTGTTCACTGGCTGCTGCCATCAGCTTTCTGTTCTGGGTTAGTGGCGGGATGAGTACCGAGGGACAGCAGAGGAGGGAAATCCTCATTCACAGAAGCTTCCTCCTGGCCAGGTTGTGTTGCTCCAGCTTGGAGGTGCTGAGTGGGTCCCCTCACCCCTCTGCTTCCACGTCCTGGGCCTCAGCATCGCTGTGCATGAACGTTTATGGAAGCCTTATGTGTAGGGTGCATATGGATTTAATGTGACAAGTGAATGCTAACAGGTTTCCACAAGTGGCAGGAGGAAGAGCTTGTCTCACCCCACACAGGTCCTTAATTCCCATTTTGGACCTTCTCCGCATGGAGTGTAAGAGCCAGGGATGAATAAGCCTTAGGCACTCCTGAAATAAAGAACAAATTCCTCTCGTGCGAGCACGCGTCTGGCCCAGCACCACAGAAATCATCGGAGATGCTCCGGATTTGGGTAAAGGAGAGCAGACTTCAGCTCAAAGGAATGCCGAGCTCATGCAGATTGCAGGGAAACGTAGGCCGGTGGGTGGGAAGCTGGGGCTGAAGGAATGGCTGAAGGAAGGAACGGCTCCCGAATTTGCCGGCTGAGGCCGGCCAAGAACCTGGCTGAGATGCTGAAGCCAGAGGGCTCCTGGTCCCCTGATGCCTTCAGTTCCTTGAGCCCTCAGCTGGGGGCAGTGCAAGTACAAACTGCTTGTCCAGCCAGACAGACGGCAGGACAATCAGGACTGAAATTGGAGGATTTTTTTTTTGGACAGGGGCGACGTGGTGTTGGTCGGGAGGAGGCCATGCCAGGGCTGCTCGGGGAGAGCCTGGGAGTGAGTGCACTCAGGGCTGTGGCCACAGAGGGAAGGGGCTGGGACTCTGCCTTTCCTCTTTCCTCAGCCACCCAAAGGAAAGCGAATCCCGTGGGAATGGCCAGCACCGGCTCCCGGAGGGGCTCCGCAGCTTCCAAGCAGGGTTCCTGGTCCCTTGCCACAAGCCCTTAGCCGCTGCTCTCAGCATCGTCTCCGGCGGATGCGTGCTCCAAGTGCTTCGTTTTTGCTGCGTGACTCCGTAGGCTCACTTGGCAGGGCCCCACGTGGTAACAGGACTCCTCCGACACATGTGCTGGACAGCTTGGCCTGCGCTCCCTCTGTTTGCCTTGCTAACTGCTCGGCGGTAACCCGAGCGTCTTCGGGGAGACGGCCATTGTCCTCCCACACCTCCCTCTCTCTCGCCGAGCTAACCGCTCACCGGCGATCGTTTCCAGCTCTGATCATTTCCAGCTCTGCTGGGAGACGTGGTTGGAATGACTGGGAATGATTAAAAAACAAATAACCAGCGGGGGCCTAACGGGGGCTCCTGCACCCCACGAGCTGATCCCACCGGTGCCAGCAATGCAGCATGGGGCAGCCCTGTGCTGAGCAGTCCCCTGGGGCTCCGTGGGAGCTGTTGTGGGTGAGAGGGCTGAGGGTGAGCAGGAAAGCAGCAATTTAACCCATGTGCCTTGATACTGGTGTCCCCCACCATCAAACCAGTCCCTCACAGTGACAGCAGCCACCCCGGGAGGCTGCGAGTGGCAGGAGGGAGCAGGGAAGCTGCGTGTGCTTGGTGTGTTGCTGCTGGGCACGCACAGTGCTGCTAAAATACAAGCACTGCTCCGAGGCCATCTGGCAGGAACGCACTGCCAAAGGGCTCTTTGTGCAAGAGCTGCGGAAGAATAGGGAAATAAATAAATTATATAGCTCCAAAAATCAATAGTAACGCGGGACGGCTGGGAGGGTCGATGGGGCAGGCGCTGCGGGCTGCTTCCCAGCCCTCTTTGAGGCCGAGAGACTGCAATTTAGAAAAACCTTATCAATCATCACAGTCCTTCTCTGCTCATGGAAAAAAAAAAAAAAAAAAAAAAAAAATGAAAAAGAAAAAGAAGCAGAGAAAAGTGCTTGTGTCGGGGCCAGAAAGCGAGATCTCACTTCCCAGCCGGCAGCCCTGACGAAGGGAAGTGCCTGGTCATCACCACCACAATATCTCTGAAAAGCAAAGCGTTGCTTTGGGGAATTGGAGCCAGCCAATATTGCCCCAAGTACCTCGGCTGCTTCCCTCTTGAGGAATCGTGTTAACAGCCCAGCTCCCAAAGTCTGGCCAAGCTGGGGAGCAAGGGGATTACGCACAGACCATGACAAATACGAAGCACACGGGACAGCTGGGTAAGGTCAGCGCCTTTATTCCCTTCTGCCCACCCGTTTTGTCCTTCCCCCAGCTCGGAGACAACGCAGGCTTGTTCTGCCCTCCAGGCAGTGCCAGTGGGAAGCTTTGGGACGGGGTTCTGTGGGATAAACCCAGCTGGAGCAGCCTGTAGATAATTTGGGTTTGCCACACCAGGGGTGCAGGGAGGGCTCAGGGGTTTAATGGTGCTTTATGTCCAGACCGAGAGCCCACGGAGTCGTCGAATGGGTGGAAGGGGCACTGAGCACACTGCCTGGTTTCAGTCCAAGCTCAGCGTCACAATCCCAGCCACGCACCTGGGCTCTGACCCTAAAATGTTTGCTCAGGATGTTCCCTGTGTTCAGCAGGACTGAGAGCTACCGAGGGAAGCTCTGGCCCTCAAAGAGCATCCTGGCTTGGAGCTGCTTCACCAGCAGGCAGGTATTTTGGGATCTGTACGGAGTGCCCAGGCAGGCAGCACTCATTTCACAGCGCTGCTGGCTCTGTACCTGGCAGCAGGGACATGGTGCTGAGCAGCATGGTTATTCCTCCTCCTCGCCTGAAAGCAGGGCTCTGCCTCATCCCTTCAGCCGGCAGGGTTAATAACCTCATAAAGCCCTAAAATTGCTCTTTTGTCATCGCTTTCTCATCTGCGTGGCACCACACAGGAGGCTGCTGAGGTACGTTAGAGCCTTTGGGGAGTGTTGCAATCCCAACAACATGTTCCTGGCTGCTCTGCTGGCTGCGCAGGCTGGCAGCCGAGGGGGTTCTCGGTGCCAAGTGACAGGCACAGCTCCCCCACCCGCACCTCCTCGGCTCTCTCCTGGGGCTGTAAAGGCGTGGGAACCTGCC